TCGACGGTCGAGCACCATTTCCTGAGATCGAGGTCGAAATTTTTTTATAGCCGAGACATTGAAAAACTAGTAGAATTTAAAGAACAAGTCATGACTAAGTTAGGAATGTACGCCTGGTTGATTTTCTCATCTTCTCAGGGATAATTTTTTTCAAAGAAATGCGGTCACTTTCGTGGATAAAGCACCTTATTCCTAAACACCTAAAATTCGAAGCTAATTCCAACAAACATAAAACAAAACAAATGAGCGAATAGAGCAGAAGAAGTGCTCACAAAAGGAACACCAGTTGATATAAAACAATAGCGTTTCAGAGGAAGAATTTCAATTTGAAAATTGCCATGGCTTATCGGTCGGCCAATTCGAAAAGAAACAGGGCAAACCTTTTTCGGCAACCTAAGGGTGGAATGTTCAGAAGAGGTCATGAGTAAGTAGAGGGTACATCATTGATTGATTTCTCCCAGGGAAAATAAAGTTAGAGCTAGTTGTCGGTTTGGTCAATTTTTGTCGGCTGGACCTCCCATTTCGCAGGCCTAAAATTTGAAAACCTGGAACATAGTGGAAGAAGAACATAGCATCTTGTAGAGCAGACAATTCTCTTTCGAATGGTATATGACTCGATGTAAAAGCATGGGGATTTAGATGAAAATTTTTGGTTGAAAAAAAGCGACACTATTTATGAGACAACCTAATATATTGGCACCAACACTGCAAGCTCATGTGGCAATGAACTTCCAATACCGTCTGAATGAGTCCGCTAACCTTGCCGAATAATCGACATGGTCCGTACGTAATTGAATAGTTAAAGAAACTGACCTGTTTGCTCAAAATAAAACCCTACGCAGGGGCTTGGCAGAAGAAAGACGGTTGAGCTACCTTCCTGTCTTGATGGCCGTGTTATTGCGATTACTGGTTCAATGTGTCAGTCCCCTTTGCGTGTCGCTGCTCAAGCCAAAACCTCCAGTACCCCTTCACACTAAAAGGAGCTATGGCTTACCTTGGCACAATGAGTTCATCAATGTCGACCAGCGCTCCGAACTCGCTGTTAATTCTTTGTACACAATCGTTATGGGCGAGCGAATGTGCGAGACGGTACACAGAAAGATTTGGATCGATGTTGGAGAAGCGTGGAAGTAACGGCCAACTGATCACTGTAACAAAACCCTGAAACCAATTGTCTTTATTTTTGTAATTCTGCTTAATCGCCAAGGTCAAATCAAAAGTCCATACCTCTCGTTCGTAATGCCGTAGCACTTGGCGGACATTATGCGTTGAGGAGTGATAGTACATAAATATGTGGCTAGCCCCATGTGCTCGCCACATCTCTAGGAAAAAGATAACCTTCGTCCAGTCGGTAAACCTGAATCAGATATGTTGATCTCTGAAAACGGAAAAAATTGAGTGATGAGCTGCCTCAGACGAACTCTCCAAAAATTGTTTGCCAGATAGATATTTATAAATTGTAGGTTGGAAGACGATTTTTCACAGTGATGCTTGCTGTGAAATTTACTTAGCGAAATAATCCACGTACAATCACCACTGTGAGATAGATTAATTAGCAGGAAACTCTCCAGTATATTGGCGGCACACAAACGTTCAAGGCTCCTTTCGTTCTGATAGGTGGTCGATGCAGTGGAAGACGCACGTCTGCACGATCTCTCGACAGGATGACCTGCAGAGGTGACTCAAGATACACAGAATAAATGTTGTATCCGCAATACACCCCAAAGCTTATACAGATTTCTAGATACTTTTTTATTCTGGCGCAGACGATCTAGTACTCACGCGCATTAAAGCGGAGTTTTACACCCACATTCAAAGTTGAGCGTAGCTAAAGTCAATTTGATGCTCTCAATGAGATAACTGAAGAGCGTATTCTCATCCATAAGGTAGTTTATAATAAGCGACATTAAAAGATTCAGCAATGGAAGCATGGTGCTAGGTTCGAGCTCAAAAGGTGCTCGACGGATTGTGGATCATACGAGATCTCAAAAAATTGTGTTTAATTAGGGAGGGACACACTGCAACGGATAGTGTTCACTCATTAGACACTTCTATCTCTCAGTTGATAAGCGCCAGAAGGTTCAGCGATTACAATGCACTCTGCTGCAATTCAATAACGGCAAGATAGTGAAGGCTCAAGTGAAGAGGGAAACCATGATAAACGCCGAGAACCCGAAATGGTGGGTATGCCGCTGTCTCGCCTAATCTAATCACCGCAGCGTATAGACCTGCGGAGATAGTGGGCGTACCGCGCCAACTGCGCCAAGAGTGAGCCATACTAGAGCACCGAGGTCAAATTTTCCACCGCCAGTCCGTCTCCCAACTAGGCAATTTTCCCCTACTTCGACCTTCGTTCTTATCGGGGACTCTCCTTCGTATACGCACCGACCCTCAACCACATTTACGTCGCGAGTGAAGCAGGCGAGAATCATGCCTAGTGGAAACAGTGGCGGCACCATGATGTGCCAGGTAAGCGGTACGCCCAGCGCCCAGCAAGGCCACTACCCGCCGTAGCTCTGCACTGCTGCTCGCCCAATCCTCTGCAGCGGTTCTGCGCTCAATTACCGCGTATGGCACAGAGAGCCGTTGCAGTTCTGAAGAGGTCAGCACAGCAGAATGAGTATACGCCTTGACACGCACATAATCAACGGGCAAGAAGGAGTCACATTTCTTGTGTTTTAGGCCGTTAATTGTTTTTTTTTCTCAATCCAGCATTCTTAATCACAATTGACATGAGGTCTGATGGGCTGTCCATTCGTTGTAATAGACGAACCGATCGAAGAGATCATGTAGCAGATTCGATCGGAGCAATTACGGTAGACCTCCTAGGTAGTTCAACGGCAATGGCAAACGACGTCAAATCCTGAGGAGAGGACAGTGAGAGAGGACCTGCTTCTGCTGACAGAGGGATATTCAACGTGAAGCCTCTGCTGACGGCGACACCTTGTGCGACGAAACGTTAGCTGATGTGCGCCATGAGCAAATTCTTCTTGCCGCACCTCAGATAATGGTGACTGCCTCGTTGTGTAGTTAGGTCACAGCGTGGTGTCGCGCACATTTGCCTGAGCCGCGCTAAAATTAATGGCAGGTATTCACTTTGTAAGTACGCTGGTTTGGGTGTCCGAATTTGTTGCGAACTATACCGTATCCAGTCAAAGTAGCAACCTTCCTAGCTTCGTACGAAAACCGCTATCTGGAACACAAACATAGCTGACCAAACTGCCAAAGATATTTTATAGTGACCTTGTGAAATGAAGGATACACCACGCATTAGGAAGTGAATGCTGGTAACCGAAATTATACCAGCAAGGTCGCTGGAATGCAATCGCGTAATACATTTTGATTTTCGCACGACGTCTGATTATGATCCACATTAGGACCTCCTCTGATTCAGCCGCATCCCACCTTGGGATAGAGAAATTAGTTTAACCAAACAAGCATTAGTTGCTCCAGTGCCAATAACATTGGGTCGCAATGGGACCGCTGCCTCAAATGCGCCCGCGCTTTTCAAGCAGCGCCACGTGGCAACCGACAGCGGAGGGTGGGGCTTGCGGACGAAGGTGTGAGTTGCGGGTCGGACGAGCTCCTTGCGCCTTTGTCGCGCACACTTTCAAGGCAAAGAGGCGCGATATCCACGCTTGTCCGCCTGCCTACTACTTCCGGGAGAACGCGATCGTGCCTTTGATGAATTACCTACCAACTTACGCTTTTTGCTGATGTGGCATTCGTTAACGGCGCATCGAATACATAGGAATTGTATAGGCAGCCTGGTGCCCATCCCCACGGACAGCTTGCTTCAATCGTGTGAGCTCTGAAGATGAGTTGCTCTTCGTCGACACTTCCACGCAGCTTCCATTCTGGATCAACGCACTGATTTATCGAAAGTATTCGTATCGCATTGCTGTAATAAAGTGGTTTCGCAAAATACTTCATAGAAGGAGCTCAAAATATGTCACCTGTCTAGCAAATATGCTCTATATAAAAATAGAGATTGGGAGGTCAACTCCAAATTACCCACGCCATGGAGGTATTCGGCCCTGAATCGCTGCCGAGATATTACTGACGAATGCATGTGAACAAGAAATCAAATTACTCACAGTGTGTCCTTAGTATTCATAAATTTACCGATGATCAGGTTTAAATAAGTAGTGTAATAAATCAGTGTGAGACCAAGGAATAGAAGAGCGCCAACAAAGAGCAGACGTGCTTTGATCATCTGGAAACTTGATTCAAAAATAATGGCGTATTTGGTCGCTGAATGAAGATTATTGCAACTGAAAAATTCTCCAAGTGAAGAAGTGAAAGGGATGAAGAACGTGCATGATGTTTATTTGAAGAAGGACTGCCCACACCTCACCAAACCTGTTCTGTTATGACAGCACTAGTAAACCATTAAACATTTCGACATTTAGTCGACGTGAGCCAGATAGCACTATTCAATAACCCCTCCCCCACACCCTGTAGATACGCTTTGAAATGACTGCCAAACTTGAGGTTCACTAATTTACTTAAAGGTACATTCCACGATTACAGCAGGTGCCGTTCTAGCTGCCCCATGTGTCCATAACTAAACTGGCTTGCAACCTGATCTTCTAGATGAGACTGTTGCGGTGCACAGCAGGGGATCTCTCCCTGCGTCTTTACCATCCGTTATGCTCTCTCGATCTCGATCTCCTTGAAGAACTCGTCGCAACTCTCATTACGTCCCTTATTTCCTCATTACCAAAGGAATCCTTCCTTTGATATCAGAGTCTTTGGATGCTTGTTCCCTTTTATTCCTGCACCAGAAGTTCTCTCACGTTACTTCTTGGTTTTCGAAGAGGAATAATCACATGTTGTGATCGTGTAATGAATGTGTGTGGACTTTCTTATTTTGAGGAGACCATTTAAAGGCAATCGACGACTTTTCGCAAAA